GATAGGCCAAGTGCCAGCTTAAGTGTCACGAGCTGTAAGTATACTTTTATTTGAAAATAAAAAGTGACATAATTTAGTTCATAAGCTAACTTAATCATTAAATGGTTAACTTAGGATTAACAATACTGCCTTCACTTGCTGTTTAATAAGTTGGGCCTAAGTACATCCTATTCATGACTAAAAGCAGCTTAGGTATGGCTGGGATTAAAATCTTCATTCCAAAAGAGGCAAATACAATTTTATAGGTTATAGCATATTTTTTGCTGCAGTAGAACTATTATGAAAGGTACAAATGATTTAGACCCAGGCCTAGGCTTTTGTAGGGCCAAGGATACATCATTCAGCTAAAAATGTTAATATACTTACAGTTACCATAGCTTAACCATCGGTAGTATGGACCAAAGGGAAACAACTTTTTGTAATACAAAGGCAGCATATCTGGAAGTTGGTCGGCTGAATAACCGCTCATTTTGACACAATCTGTAAAAAAGACAAAATTATACAATAATTAAAAGAAAGCATTAGTTTAATTGACTAAATTGGTAAACAAAATAGGCCTACTTTAGAATAAGTAAGTGTAACTACCCAGTGGCAGATTAAGGGGGGGGGGGCTGAAGCCCAGGGCAGCAAATTTTAAAAGTAGGTATTTTTTTTTATTATGAGATTTCAAAAATATATTTAGCTTAGGTCTAAATAGGAAAAAAAAACTTTAAACTAGGAAAGTTGAAGGTTAGACGAACTGCAATGATCAAACCTTTCCACATTTAACCTCCACTAATATCACGCACCAACCAAGCTTCCATCCACGAAAACAGCCATGGACTCGTTTGAATCAGTGGACAGCGAATTGTTGTGATGATTAATTTTCTCGCGAGTTACTGATGCGATGCGGCTGATGCTAATTCGAGCAATATTAGGTACGGTATCCACTGTTTTGTTGTTGACAGTTGACATGTTTATGATGTCTATGTCACTGCAGTGATCAGCTTGAAGTGAAGTTTTGAGGTTAGGAAATGACATAAACAGCCAGCTGTCATGAAACTTTTTAGTACAGAATTGAGAGATAGGAAATAATTAGGGCCTATTTAGAATCGTAAGTATTTAGTATCGTGATGGAAAATGTCCGCAATAAACCTTTGAACAACAAGTATTTAGAATATTAAAGAAGTTTTTTTTTTATTCCAGATCATGTGAGTTACGTTATTTCAATAGACTAAAATTTGTATAAAAAATTAAATACCTCGAATCAAACTACCGGTAGGCCCTACCTACAATAGGTTTTTTTACTATTAACCATCCGATTCCATTCCAACTCCAATAAAATAAAATAGTATTTAGGATTTATCTGTTGTTATCGAATCACTTGTTTACTTTCTAATTTGAATTATTCTCGTGGCTTTGGTAATTAATTACTAATGAGTTAGTAGGCCTATCCAATTGAAAAATAATAAGAATAATATAAACTTAGTGATGAGAGATACCGTAAGTCAAAAGCTAGCGGGGAGATTCAGCTACTGTGTAGGCCTAACTAAGTGGTAAAAGACAGGTGAGTTGAGGCCTAGGAGCATTAAACATTAATGTTAATACCTCCTAAATTGAGGCAGACGGCACTCATTTAGTCATTAGACCACAGTGATTTGGCATCGACCTCCCCAAGAAAAGCGTACACGGTTGGAGGGAGGGCCAAATTGTGGATAGCCCAGGGGCGGCAAATTTTCAAATCCACCTCTGTAAACTACCAATCACCCTACATGTAAATAATTGCTTGGTAAGTTATAGGCCTAGCCTAATAAGACAAATATAATATATATTACTATCATTGTATTCCGGACACGTAAATAATTGCCTAATAGGACAAATATGCATTCTTATCATTATATTCTACTTATGGAAGTATCTGAAATCAAATCACTGAATATTAATAAAATATTGTCTACTAAGACACCTAAAAGTCGAGTGAACATAACCTATACACTACAGACAGGCTACAGCAAATAAGCTGTTCTTTCAAAAGTTACTGATATTAAAAATACAATATTTGATTAAATAAATGTATCAAGAGCATAATTACCTTGGTTCCTCTCGCTTTTAAACTGATTAGTAATAGTTAACAATTAACACATAAACGAGAAACTTAAAGCTAGTTTAGCTAAGCTCTAGGCTAGACGCCTTGGCGGGAAACAAAATTATTTTGTTATTTTTGTTCTAAGTAAGTTCTAATAACAATCATGTTGGGCTGGCTATGATGCAAGCCCATATAGCTTTACACTAATAAAATAAACAATTTTCGCTTTCTTCGTTAGTTTCTTTAGACTTGACTAAATTGAAATGTGATGTAATATATAACCTATTCAGATATTTTCCTTTACGCATTTTACAATTTTAATTTTGGTCTTTATATGCGAGGTTTACAATAATTCCAAGAACATTGATTTCAAGTAATGACAATAATTACAGTTACCGGTACGCATAGACATTATTATTTGCAAGTGCTAATATTTTTATTTCCGAAGAGAATAACATTAAAACTTCGCCTTCCAAGAAACAAATCTATTTTCAAAGTGCTGTCCTTGAGTGAAAATTTAAAAACGTACGTTTTCATGTCCCTGGCCTTTTACTTCGTAGATACTGGATTTGTAGTTTATTATTATGTGTTTTAAATTTTTTTGGGACGGGGGCAACATGTTACACACATTTATTTGGTTTTAAATAGGTTCTAGGTATTTTTTTAGTATTTTTAAAGTCTCGGAATTCACGACCATGACGTGTCCCTAGGGTACATTTTCCAACTTTCACGCTGTTTTTAGACTAATTATTCATGCCGAAATATATAAAGCCATATTTTTATGTCATCAATGGTTATTAAACTTACAAAAAAGGAGCATATTATAATTTTATTGTCATTGCAAACTGACTACCATGACAAAATAAGTCTGTCCCTCAATTTGGCGTCACGACCATTTGGGAAAATTTTCAACTTTGGAGTATGACAGTGGCAAGCCTGGCGTCGATGGAGTCAGTTGGTTTTAGAGACTAGTTCGGGGTGTACGTCAGGATTGTAGTGCCGGTCGTTTCGAGTTGAAAGGAGGAATTACAAGATTAATAAAGGAAAGATTGTGTTTTTTGTAATTTTGGTGTGTCCACGACCGTACGTAATCATTCAATGAAGTAGACATGGTGTTAATTTTTGTTTATAAGATATTTCAATTGCTAGATTAACCTAGAAGTCTACTTTGTATCCTCGAACATGAGGTGCAGGGCTACCGCCAGAACAGAGCCAAATTACACGTAATTTCACGACCAAAGTATCACGACCATCGCGGGTTTTTTCACGACCAATCCAGCCTTATGGATTAAAGTGTGTTTGGTCGTGACAATAACTTTAATATAATTGTAAATTGAACAGTTTAGTTCAATTGAAACACATATTTTTATTATAACTAACAGTATAATTGAAGGATCGTTTAGAAATATTTAGATTATTTAAGAAAATTCACGACCGTACCGCTTGTCCCTGACCATCACGTTTACGATTTCTATCATAAAAATTTCAAAAATTAAAATATCATCATATTTCAATGTTTTATACACAAAAGAACCACACCTCTATACAAACATAACGATTTTTCGGGTCTCAGGTAGGTTTTTTCGGAGCTATACAAACTTAAAAAGATTTTATTGGTTTTTTTCAATTTTTTGAGTTTTTTATTTTTTCTAGAAAGGCCAAATATACCAAAAGCTCAGTGACCTTTTTATTGTATAATGGCCATAAAAGTAAATTAGTTTATAGCAAAACATAGTTATAAAAATAATATTTACTATTTTTAATATTCATTTAAACGTCCGTTATGGTCGTGACCGGATTTTGTGTTTTTCCACTAAAGATGCTCTCTAAAAAAAAACTACCAAAGATATTGCGTTACCATGGACACTTTATGAAACTTCAAATGTTAATAAAATAAAAAAAATAATAAAAGTTTTGAAAAAAGGGGAAAAAAATTTGCAAAGTGTTTTTCCTGAAAACGTGCGTTTTTAAATTTTCACTCCCTTATGTTTTCAAGTCCTATATTTCTGAGCAGAACAGTAAGTATATTACGTTACTATACTAGTCCATGGTGGAAGTTCCACCATGATACTAGTCTACTAGTCCTGAAAATACGGTATGTGTTTCGTGTTTATCGGATGAGTGTGGCCGTTCCCGTGCGAGACAAGTCGAGTGCGGGATTACCATACGAGTCCGGTAAACACATTTTGGACGAGTGACGTACGATATTTTGCGCCATACTACTCTAAGCTAACGTAACAATGAAAATATTTATAGGTCCTTATGGTACCAACGACTATCGACTAATCACTACTCTCTTGGAGATCATGTTTTTGATTATAACCATTCATTGCCAAACATAATCAGCTGATTGGTGTCCGGTAAAAACTGATTACAGTACAGTACAACATTACCATTAGTAGCCTACGTAATGAAACCCCATTTGATTAAGCTGGCAGCTGGCGACAAGCAGCTGTTTTCTGGACTACATTCTTGCGGGGGAAGTTCGAAAACAGTGTAGTGGGGTGTGATAGTATATTTGGTACCTAGGGCCGAAAATGAGGTTTTGCCGGCTCGATATATTTTTTAAGTTCGAGACTAAGTCGAGCCATACCACCCCTACCACCCACACTATACCCTATTACCACTATATTCATCACAATAATAATGCACACTGATAGTAGTTGTTGAGTGTGCATTCTATACAGTTCAACTACCAGTCCACACTCGAAAGCTATCCAGCTGAAGGCAGGCTATTATTAAGAAAATGCCATAGTTTGTTCCTTTCTGTACATTACAGGTAATGTTTTTAAATCATAACCATAATGAGCCAAAAATACAAAAGAATTTGAAATACAAACAGAAATTAATAAGTTGATGTAACAAAATGTCAAAAAGCCAAAATAGTAAAATAGGTTAGAAATAAATATATGCATTCACACATAATTTGTATTATTTAAAAACAATATAAATGTACAAAAGATTCACAGGACTCCAATATGGAGTGAAGGTGGATAGCCATCATAGAGGCATTTTTCATTCCAACAAAGGCGACTCAGACATCGTCAACAACTGGTGTACACTGAAACAAGTCGTTAAGTCAGAAAGTGATTTGGTCAAACTGAAATGTTAGCAGAAATAAACAATCTACTACCTACTACTATCCAAAGCAATATGCAAACTTAATAGTATGGCCATATTCAAAATAGAATTTTGTTTAAATATATTCCTCCTAATCAGCATACACCTATGACAATCGATTCTCAATACGGTGAAATGTGCTCTAGTTCCTTTCTGTCAGGCTGAACGCTCACCGGTGAGTGCCGGCATCACCTACATTGCATTCAATTTCTGCACAGCAGCACACCGGGAAGAACAGGAACTTTTATATCCGCGTTTAGCTAGGAATGGGTGCTTTATTTTGGTGTAGGTTGGTAGTAAATTTCCCCGTAAATCCCCTTCTGGTAATCTTAGAATCTTCTCCCGTCTTTCTCCCTCCAATTGGCAATACAATGGGACAAATTTGTTCAAGATAGTGCTGCTATCTGTGAGTGTTTCAGCAAACTACGTCGACTCTCATCGTAATGCAGCACATCACCGCACATTATTTGCTATTCATCAGACCAAAGTATTTTAAAGCCAAATGGGTTCGCTCAACGCTGCGCCGCACCGGGGCTTTGCCTGCCATTTGGTGGGCTGCAGCGAACGTTTTAAACTGTAAAACACTGTATATTGCTCCACAATAGTTCTGCTACTGATAAAGACTTAAATAAAAAGATTGAGTGCATTAATAAACTTACTAGTTTCAAAATACATCTATTATATAAACCTCACCTACATAAAACAAAAAAAGTTTTAACATTTTACATGGCAATTTTCGGATCAGCAAACATTTTCATAGCTACAAAATCAACTCACGTAATACTCTATGTAACACAGCTGTTTGGCTTCCGTCTGAATCATGAATTGTAGACAGAGCAGTCCCACGTCATCTGTTCGTACAGAGACTTTCACTGAGATTGCCAACGGCTTCATGGCAGGCCGAATCTGACTGAACCTATACCTGCAACAATCATGGCTGAAAAACCACTACCAACACATAAGTTTACTGAACCGTTTGTAGTTTCACTTGTCAGGATCTTCAACAATGTTCAGCTAGTGATGTGACGAGTCCAGTACAATAATCAATACTTCTATAATATCCAATAACTGAACTCAGTTGTTTATGGCTTGGAGATTCTTCACGCTGTAGTCTTGAATTGACAAATAGAGAGTGATGAATACGTGAGCATGTTTTCAGAATCACTTCTACACGTCAACAGCACTGAATGCTGAGTACTAAGGAGTTGAGTCAGAATATACAAGCTGTCACTACAAGTCAGTAGCACTGGCATTGACCAAATACTAGCAGAGTATTCGAATACTCACCTGAGTTGAAGAAGAATCGAGTACATTTTAACCGAGTAGACTCGTCAAACCAGTATCGTCAGTATCAGTAGGCCAGGGAGCAGCGGATATTGGTTGAATAAACAATTAATGTGTAACTAAACAGGAGCTAAACTTTAGTTGAATTTTTTTTAATTTTTCCACTAAATAATTGTTTTAAAGAAATTTATAGAGTGATTAATATGATTAGTTTTTTACTAAACGTAGGGTTTTGTGTATTAAATGAGTGATTGGGACTTTGAACATTGTGCTTAAACTGTCTAATTTAACCACACACTCTGTCATTATGCACTTATGCATGCCAGTTATATCGTACATTAAAATTTTGTTTTTTTAATAAATTATTACAAAATGTTGAACACCGTTATGGCGACTTAAAGCCAACTTTATGGATGGGATTATAGGAACTTAAATAAAACACTAGAATAAGCAGCCATATTACAAAAGTAACATTACAATTTTACCTAGATCTGATTTCTTTGGTGCACTGAAAGGCTTCTATCATTTCACTTGTATGCAGAATGTGAACCTGTAAATAAAAATTTAAAATTAAACGCTTGACTTAAATACTTGACCCTATACAGTTGTTTATGACCTAAAAGAAAGTAAGTTTTGTACCATTAAGTTCTATCATTCAAAAACATTTGCTTGTTTTGCACTGTACTGAACTCAAAGGTCATTTAGACAAAGTGCAACTGTTGAAAAATTTATTTTGTGAAATCTATACTTATAAAAGGCAAAGCCCTCACTGACTCACTGACTCACTGACACACTCACTCATCACTAATTCTCCCACTTCCCATTTACCTAGGAGGCTGAAATTTGGTACATTGATTCTTTAGGCATTAAATAGGAAAACTAAGTTGTTTTTATTCTGATCGGACTCTCGGGCTCCGCCCCAGTGGCTCTGGAGTTTCCCATGTTAGCCTTATGATTTTTCATATTTAAAAGGAATTAATGAATCTTAACAGCTGTTTCAATTAAACAAGTTGGTTCTGTTCTATGATGTTCAATTGCATTAAAGTTACAATGATTACCAACAGGGTGCAGCACTATTATTTATTTTAATTTATGACAACAGCTAATTTGCAACCAAAAGGTGAGTGAGCGTAGCGAACGAACTTCAACCTGGAGACGAGTTAGCGTAGCGAACGAGCTAACCTGAAGGCAAGTGAGCGCAGCGAACGAGCTCCAACCTAAAGGTGAGTGAGCGTAGCGAACGAACTTCAACCAGGACGTGATTGAGCCATGCGAACGAGATCATCTTGAAAATTAAGAAGCTAAACGGGGCAAAGCCCGCGGGTACAGCTAGTCACTGATAAAACATTTTGCCAATTTGTGTCTGAAAAAACTATTTACTTTTGGTTACCTATAATGTTTTAGAGGGTACCGATAAGCCGATGGGAAGCAATACAAATCAAACTGATTCAAATATGAATGTAGCAGACCTGTTTTGTGACATTTGTGTGGGTTAGCCTAGTGGTTAGCATCTCGGACTTCAGTGAGGGAGGCAAGGGTTCTTGGCACATTCACAGTGTACATTGTTTCTCCTGTAAAAATTCCACTGAAATCGGCATTACAAAAAAAAAGCATTAGAAGATTACTTGGATTTTTCCTGTCATTTAACTTTAGGTTGTGTTTAGGCTAAGCTATGCTAGAACCTATGCAAACCTAAACCTTAGATTGCCTATTGTTACATACAACTAAAATAGTGGAAGTAAATTAATGGAAAAGTTCGGATTATTCTGCTATCATTAATTAAGTACTTTTATAGTAAACCGTAATGTCAAAGTCGCTGTATTTATTAAATGGTATTGTTTATAATCCACAAATTTTCATGTATGTAATTGAATGTAAAAATGGTGGTTTTGCCGTAAATAAATAAATGATTACCTGACAGTCCCCCGCTAAACCTTTAGTAGTCAGCTGGAAATAAGGAGCATCGGGACTGAGGAGCAGTTCGACACATTCAGATGTTGGATCCAACTCGTTGAATACATCCTTGAACTGGGCCGACTGAAGAATCACTTTGTTGACTACATTGCTAGCGGGAAAATCAAAGTCTAGAATCTCGTCGGGTTCCAAAGTCTTCAGTGAACAGTCGGTAATAACACCTTCCTCTTCAAGCCTGTAAAAGTCAAAGTAGGAGTTTATCTGTCGCTATTTCCAGTATAATAAGGAGAAGGACCTATCCTTCAGTGCCCAACATGTAAAGGCTCAAGCCACTTGTACATAGTTATTTACAAGATGTCAATTATAAATTAGGTAGTTCTAATGATTATTGTATAGTGGAAAAATATTAAGTGAGCACGATAACACAATCAAACATTTTAGAGGGGCCTAAAATCACTGAAAAAGTCAGAGGTGAGACGATGACGCAAAAGAAAAAATTAATGATTTTCGATACTAATAAGACAATAATTTTCAGTGACATGAACGTGAGATAGTTGGGCGTTCAATATTTTGTTTCGTAATGATTTGAGCTAGCTGCCCGCTCCCAAAATATTTTCCCTTCGACTGATTATCATAATAAATTTTCAATGTCTGTAGCAGGATGTAAAACAAAAGACAGGTATTTGGAACGATATTTTAGTTAGGCCCGATTTTTTCTGTGATTTTTGGGACCTTAAAAATTAAGAATAATTGTTACTTTTCAGTGAATTCTGTGACTGGCTAGTAAAATCAGTGACTTTTCCGTGACTTCAGTGACGCCCTGATTAAGTAACTCGAAAACAATAAGCTTGAATTGTCTTACCAAACTAAACGATTTTGACAAACTCACAGTAGTTTGAGAGGTGCTCCTTGATGAGTGCAGAACATCTTGAGAGCTGCGGTCGCTCCTGGGACAGTGCTGCAGTTGTCGAACATTGACAAACAGTCGAGAAGAACATTGAGATCTACCTTAAATGTCACCTCCTCTGTAACGTGAAACTCCTAGCAAGGAAAATCAATCAAATCAAGCGTTTCATTTGAATAAATCCATACAGACTAAATACAGTATAAAAATAACAACACAAAGCATATAAGTTACCTACTGATAAACAGGTGGGCATGGTTGTTCATACGTTGTATGGTTGGAGTATAAAAAATAAAGAAAGCAGATATTTACTACCTACTTATATACTTATAATTTTAAAATATTTTTGTTGAATCTTTGCAAGTTTGATGTTATAAATACAACTAGTGCTCGATTTGTGGCGTAACGGCATTCTGGTACCTCTCTTTCAAAAAGATGAAAATATTGACATTTAAGTTAAATAGGTACATAAATGGGCATCAATCACATAATCACATTAAATAGTGATTATAGAGATTATAGTGATTGAAATAGTGATTTAACAGTTCCAGCACCTCAATTTTTATAAATCGAGCCCTGAATAGAACTGTTTATTTTAATACATTTTTCAGTATTTTCTTACTAAAATAAAAAGTATCAGCACTTTTGAACTACCTGAAACACATCTTCTCCAATAAAAGCACTGACTTGAACACATTTGGCGTCTTCTACCACAATTTTTAATCCATTTTCTGACACGAAACAGGTGGCCATCTGAAATAATTCATTGAATTAAAGTTAGGTCTAGACATATTAATGACTGTCTAATGACTAGTTACTATAGTGAGGGTAGGCCTAGTTTTTAAAGTAAAGGCCATTTTTGTTCATAGCTTCGCAGTTTGCGAATACAGTTCAACGCCATAACTCGCCACTTACTGGCGTCATTTAAGATTTGAATGAGACTATTTTTGCAGATCCGTAGTTGACAAGTAGTTTAAATACAGTTGACTGTGTATTTTTCTAAGGTCAGTGATACGTTTTTTTGATTACCGGTACAGGAAACAATCTGATGTTGACATTTAGTGCCAGATGGATGAAGGTTATGGTCCTAATGCAATGAGTGAACACAAAGTTTGGAAATGGATTAAAGAGTGTAAAAATGGCTGCCGACACCTTTTCTAAATCATTTAAAGAGAAGTCTGGGTACCTAACAAAAACCCAATTCCTTTTAAAATGAACATTTCCACTGCCATTTTAAACTTCCCAGCCCATTTCAGCACTTTCCGGTTTTAGCTCCTTCAAAAACATTAGGCTATTAAGTTTAAGTTAGGTTTAGTTTAGGCTAGGTGTATGAAGACGAGTAATCACAGAAAAATATTTAAAGCAGGTTGGAGAGCTTCTAAGTAAATACTGGTCACGGAACTTGAGACAAGTTGACCTGTAACCGGTCAGCACTGTATTACGATCTGCCGGCTGCACTTTACTTGACGTCCTACACTCATTCGAATGAAAATATTGATCGATATATCGATTAATCGATTGCTTCATTCGATATATCGTTTGGTTAGTTAGGTAAGGTTAACCTAACCTAACTAACCAAACGATATATCGAATGAAACAATCGAATGAAACAATCGAATGAAAATATCGAATTGAAAAAAATAATCGAATGAGTGTAGGACGTCAAGTAAAGTGCAGCCGATCTGCCATTAAAAAGTCCACATTGACATCAATTACAGTAATAGATAACTTACTTACTTATTTTAACAGGATAAAGGATGAAGCCCATTGTAGTTTAAGATTATCAAATGATTATTTAATTTGCCTTAGTTAATAGTAATCTGTTCTGCTAATTCAATCTAGCCTACTAGGGCCTAGTACCTTAATAACCTAACAAGTTAGGCCTTGGCCCATTACTGTATTTGATGGCCAAATAAAATGATTTATGATTTACTAAAAAATTCAATTATAGGTTACCTCTTTAAAATTGAGTACTTTGAGAATATGAGACAAATGCTTTACATTGTCCAATTTCATTTCGAATAAATTGTCACTTTGTACATTGCTCACATTCAATATTGGATTTTTCATTTTTGTATAGGTTAAGAGTATCAGCCTAAGTGTGCAGATAGAAAATGCAATTCAAAGCACTAACTTAGCAGTTAAGTTAGCACTATCAAAACATTGTCGACACATAATAAAAGCAAAACTATCCAAAATAAAAGAATGAAACATGAAACTTGACACTGACAGAGGTTGAGGTTAGGTGCAGCCGACGCCGACAGCCACAACATCGTTTATGTGTTTGACTTTGACATTGTTTAATGTTTACTTTACAACAACTGCCAACTGCCTCATAGTACAGTAAATAAAGTATTTTTGCACGGTCACCTTTAACTCCAGGGGCCCATTTCATAATAAAGTACAAACTAATATTATTAGTAAATCAGCTGATCACCCAATGCAAATCTAATGGAAATTACAAGTTACAAGTTGTAACTTGTAGTTTATTATGAAATGGGCCCCAGGCCGCGGCCTTCGAACTGGCAACGTTGCAAGTGGTTTTGTAACAGCTGTTTTGTTTGGAAGCAGCTAATGGTATTTGTGTATCACTAACACCACTTGCGATGTTGCCAATTCTACCAGGACGCGGCCTGTAGTTAAAGTTGGCCGTGATTTTTGTGTGTTCTATTTAGTGTTCGCTTCGTTCTCATGGTGGAACGGTTCTCTCTTATAAACAAGAGATTTCTCGCAATATCTATTCCCGTAGCATTGAATGTATTTTTTACAATCTGTTATTTAGAATTGGTATGGGTAAACCCACACATAAATGTCCTCATTCTTTCATCAAAAATAGGCTAGTTCATAAGCAAAACTACCGCTAAATATGCAATTAACAAATTAATGGCCCAGGGAACAACATATAGAGCATTGCGTTGGCGTAAATTACCCACTGAGCTATACCCTGGACAATCATTTGGCAAGAAATCGCTCTCAGCTGGCTGGCTAATAAAGCTGGGGAGTGGCAAGGCATCACTAGAAAACATAGTTTTTCTAGTGGGGCCTTGGGAGAGGGCAGGTACTTTTTCTCATGACTGAACCATTTCTGGAAACACCTCTACACTCTAGGAATCGTCAACGTCAATTAGGAGTGTCGACTTTGCAAACAGTCATATAAGACTGCAAAACACGTTATTCTGCATTGTGATAAACTTGGTGCTTGGACAAGCATTGGGACGGTGGTGACGTCCTGTAATCCAGCTACTAGGAGGTCACGAATTGTGGATATTTATAGGCATGCACTGTGGATACGATACTTCCTGGTGTGGATTGACGCCCGCTCTAGTGAGTACTACGACTATCCGCAGTACTATCCTGATAATTAGACCAATTCGTTAAGGCAAAAATGTGGTTTGGATTCCACTATAAACTGTAGGTTCCTTAGTTGCCATTAGCTGTATGGGCTATTAATTAACAGCTGTGTCTAAGGAATATGTTGGCCTTAGTCACTAACAAGACTGCAAGATCGCGCCACTCATCCTACACTCATCTTCATTCATACTTGGCTTAAAATACCTACTTTGTATGGTTGCCATATTATTAAAATCGTGGGGACCCAGTTTATCGACATCCCAAAAGATCGACACTGAAATAGTCCCACTTTGTCGACAACTCAAAATGTCGACAGTGTCGGTAATATGGGATGTCTGTAAAGTGGGATGTCGGTTATGTGGGATGTCTGTTATGTGGGACGGTTGTGTAAATTTTCCCACTTTATCGACACGCAAAATGTCGACAAGCAAAACAGATCGACAAAGAGCGGGAGATTCAAATTGAAGGTGAACAGCTCTTGCTGAACAGATCGGTTGAGTATAATGAGAGTCGTTCTTTTTTAAACTCCGAACGACTTCTATTCACGGCGCTTGCAGTCTCCTTCAAATTTGTCAATGCTATCTCAACTATCTTGTGTATATAATATGTGTTCTGCCGTTTGAAGGCTTAAAATAATTTGACACTAGTGTACCTGTTGCTCGAATTCGAGCAATTGCGGAGCATTGCAGGCGACTCAAAGATTATGGAAATACTTACGATCTACACAACAGTTAGATATCAAAATCTTTTGTAAATATCTTATCTTTTTTCAAAAAGCTGATCTTGTTTTTTTAATGTTTTTAGTGTTGTACCGATTTGTTGTAAAAGGCAACAAATCAATACAGGTTAATGCGAAGAACAGTCAGCTGGTTTCAACAATAGATCAGTATAGACCAGAATGCACCACGCACTAAAGACGGAGAGGGGATAAGGTTTAGCCGGGCGGCCATCTGTTTAAATCAGTACTCAGTCCTTACCCAAGTCTCATCGTAGCTAGTTCGGTAAAATTGTTTATCGTTCGTGGAAATTAAATTCATTTCGCGGCGTTTGGTCGGCCAATCTTAAATTTCCTTAAAGTCGTTCAGCCTATATCCCTAAGGGATATAATTGCCTCGCGATCGGAAATTAGAATCAGTGTTTTTGTCAAAAAGTGCAAAAGTTCGTTACCGGCCAAACGCAGTCCGCCATTTGAAAATTTCTCAAACGATTCACGAGTTCAATTGATCGCGTGTTGTAGTATACCGGCTAGTTACGTTTTCCCATCCTTTCCCCTTTGTGTTATATTTGTGGACGTCCAAACTGTAAGTAATTTTGTGTATTTATTTGTTAAATTGAGATTTTCAGTGAGTCGCACTTTGGTAAATTTTCCTGTCTTGTTTTGTCAATTCATGTAGAATAAGCACATGTTCATAGGTTCGATCACAATTTGTTGATTTTTAAATCCATTCATATTGTTGCAATCCGCTTTATTTATTAGACTGTGATATTTCTATAGTATTAAGAATAAATATATGAAAATGTTTTTATAGGGTAATTCAGAGTTGCTTTGTAATATTTTTATATAGTATTTGAATTTTGCACAGAGTCATTATTAAAAGTACAATTCGTTACAGAGTGTCACAATCAGCATTTTAATTTGGGGGAATCATTTAATATCAAAGGAGGGATTAGGTTGCTGGTTCGGCTGAATCGGGAAGTGTTATCGGAGGCTGTGCCAGTTTGCATATAGACGAACCGCCAAAGTGCCAAATTAGCTATAAAACAATAAGCAACGTTCCAGTAAATATTATTACGATTAAACGCAATACTGTTTAATCAGTTGACCTTCGAGAATCGACCTTCATATTTACATCGTTGGCCAACGAACAGGACTTGTTTGGCACTGGTCGTCTCAAATTAAATTAAATACCACTCCTCCGTTGACACCTTCGAGATCGGTGTGAAACCGCGCCAAATATTCCCCTTTGAATAAATCCGTTCAACATTCTCAGACAGATCAATTCCGTCTGATTGTGTCACTCAAGGTCATATTTTTATATTGCACCACACAATCAGAAACTGTCAAACTGGAATCATTGTAAATCTTAAATAATGCTTAATAAATCAAATTGTACTCACTTTTAGTTCTCAATAACCTGGTAGTTCTTTATTATATGCTATAGTATCAAATTGGTAAACAAAAGGTAATTCAGTAAATAATAGGCCACTACAAAAGATTCACATTTTAAGTGCAACACTAAACACTAGTGTAGTAGTGAGCAAGTAAATTCGGTGTAGAATTAAGACTGGTAAATTGCTCTCATTAAAGGTATTACTTTTTTTGGAAGAACTACAAACAGTGCCAAGGGCGTCCCCTAAGGACCTTTTGGGAATATTTATATTTTGCAGGGCCCACTCATATTTTTTCAATAACATCAAGCTTCCACTGCCAAAAGCTCTGTCTGATATTTTTATTTTCTGGAGTTCTTCCAACCCAGGGGCAACCAACATTTGTAAAGATTCATTTGAGAGCATTGCAAGGAGCAAATATATTTAAATACAATATTTAAATATATAAAAGTAGTAGGAGGGAGTTGTTTTTATTTTTCTTTACAAATAAATGATATCATCGCGTGATCTCTTGGTACTGTTTGTGTCTGTGCGATTCACTGAAATTGTTTAGATTATAAGAGATTCTATTATTATTGTTATTGTCGTTGTGTATTGTGCTGTAATTAATTGTCAATTGGTTTTTGTCATCGTGGAAAATTCGTTTTGTTAAAGTGAGATATATTATCGTAAATTGAATTATTTTCCTAGCGGGAAAAATGCACCAACAATTTGGGCCTGGGTATAATACAACTGCGAATGACCGACGCGATCGTATGTCAAGGAGAAATTTAGAGGAATTAATCGATTTAAATGCGCCGATACACCAAAACAATGAGCATATTCCACCAAATAATAATGGAGTTAGTTTAGGTAGACAAAATCCCGATTGTCGTTTACCGATCGTAAACGATGACGAACCATCGTCAAATAGACAAAATTCCGCTTGTCGTTTACCGATCGTAAACGATGACGAACCATCGCCAATTAGACAAAATTCTAATAGTTGTTTAATGGACCTAAACAACCACGAATTGACTGAAATGCTATCAAGTACGTCGAATGCAACTCAAGATAACAGTCATGCCAACAGCTCGTCGTACGTGGATATTCAACCTTCAAACGGCGAACGTGCGAGAGAGATGGAGATAGTCACTGCACAACAACGCGCGTCATTTCCTGTAGCGACTGGTTCACTGTCCACTGTTGCCCCGGTCAGTGCCACTGTACACCACCCACACCCACACACTCGACCTCTCACATACACTCACCATGACACACACGTACACGCTCACACATACAATGTTAGTCAATCACTTACTAAAACCGATCAAATTGTGGTAATTGAACTGATTAATAAATTGAATACAGTCGACGGCACAGATGAACTTGAATTAATTTCATTTCTCAAAAACATCAAACCAATATTTGATATTTCTCCGAATTGTCATACAGAGATCATTAAACTTATTATCCCTAAGGTCAAAGGTCAAATGTTCCAATTGTTTTTAGAAGCAGTATCGAGTAACGCACGCTGGAATGTCTTACATGACGAGATATTACACAGATTTATTCCGTCAATTAGGCGACGAGAGATTGCATCGTTTGAGTTAGATCGACCACAACAACCGAATGAAACTTTTTCAGAATACGTCGATCACATCATATCTATCGCATTCGCTTTAAAATCGTCAATGTCAGAAGGCGAGGTGATTGAGATTGCTTTGACAAAATGTAATCCAACTGTTCGAAGTCATTTTTCGTTCGGTCAAATGCCACAAAGCTTATTTGAGCTAAAATCATTCGCAAATAGAATCA